TTTTACGTGCTGGAGTGACGTATGCGAAACACAGTTCTTCACTGTCTGGAGGAGAGGATTTGGATTTTCTGTAATGATTTATGACAAAAGTCCTTAATAAAATAAAAAACTGGACCCAGTACATGTTTATATAGATAATAAAGTGTAGTTATTTTGCATTTCTACAATTTTAATGCCGAGCCAATACCTTTAACCCTTCACCACTGAAATCAGTTTGTTCATTCCAATCCTCCTAAATAATCCTCCAATCATCCAACTGGAATCCTTAAGGGTCCCGTAACATCCATCCTGTCAGAATAGGCCTTGGGAGCCCAGGTGTTACTAGAACTAATGGTGTCTCCTCACCAGCGTGAGCCTCCAAACTGTGAAGGTTGGTCTCCAAACATGAACTTCAAATTCATGCATTTATCTCCTCTTGTAACACTTTAATAACATGTTTTAAAAGGCTTGTATCATGATAAGTTACACCTCCCAGACCAAAGATAGGTCCAATACAGGATGCATGGATTTGATGAAGCCATGCTGTCTTATGCAGTCCCACACACACACACACACACACACACACACACACACACACACACACACACACACACACAGCAGCAGCATGTTAGAATCATTTGAATGACTAATTTAACTACACTGAACTGCTTTTGTAATAATTTAATCTCTTATTCTGGAGTAAAATAAAGAAACAAGCTAAATCATCACATATCTGTGGCATCAAGGAGCATCTTCTGAGTTCAAACACAGGGATGGAGCACAATGTTTACACCTGAACAGTATCAGGATTAACTCACAGAGGCCTGCAGGTCTTCTGTTTTATGAGCAGAGCGCTGATAATCGGCTTCTTAGGAGCGCTAAACGTAATTTTGCCGCTTCCGTGCGCGGTAAGGAAACACATTTCAAACACGGAACCGAGTCTGGTTGCCGAACCGAGCCGAATTCTGATGACGTCAAACCGGTGCGCGAAGGTTCGGGTTCCTACCGACAGGAGAGGAGGGAGAGAGGAATGCGAGTGGATCACAGGGACTGTACTGATGTTTTTGAGCAAAACTGCGGTAAAAATGGCTGTTTGTCCTCATCATAAAGCGTGTAGCCCCCCCGGTTTAGACGTGGCGCTCATGCAGGTGTCTCTTTCTGTTCCGACGCTGCTACACGTAATATTTTTAATTTATTAAGCCTACAATTTATTTTTACTCAGTAACGGATATGATTTAAAATGTAGCGAATTACAAATCTTTTTTAAAAACTTACTCAAGTAAAAGTAAAAGTACAGATTTTAAAAACGACTTAAAAAGTATAAATTTACAAAAAAGCTACTCAATTACAGTAACGTGAGTAAATGTAATTCGTTACTTTCCACCTCTGGTGATGAGCTACCGTGTTGCAACAGCTGCCCTAGGGCGCACTGATGGAAGCAAGATGCAAGGAAGGTTAGGTGTCTTGCCCAAGGACACAACAGCAGCATTCTTTGGTGGGAGCCAGAATAGAACCTCCAACATTTTAGAAAACCCACTCTACCCCCTGAGCTACTGCTGTCCTATGAAGGTGTTAAACAGTACCTTTTAGGGTTATTTTGATGGGTACTTTTAGTCTGGTTTACATTTAGAGAAATTTTTTATTTATTTATTTATTTATTTATTTATTTATTTATTTATTTATTTATTTATGTATTTATTTATTTATTTATTCTTACAAAAAACAGAAACCACAAGGGAGAAATACTAGTTTCCTTTCTGACTGTAAATATCGATTAAGTGGCATCGGCGGTGTGGAACGTTGCAGCTTCAAATAGAATCCATTATAGTAGGGTTGATCCAAACCAGCTTGCTGTGCCGCACCACTAAAGATAGTTAACCCTCTCAGGCTCAAAATAAGTTTAGATAAAAAGGACGAACACCTAAGGCATTCAGGGGTACTTCTGAGTTAAAAAAAGCTCATGAAATGCATATGTGGAGTAACCAGGTAGGTAGGTTTTAACGTTGCAAATCTGCAACGCCTGCTTCCAGAAGGTTAAATATGGGATGCTACACGGTGCACTCCTCAAGGATCTAGAATTTTTAGCAATCTTCTGGTTGTTTCCTGTATCACTATGAAAGCAGCTTCAGATTCATATAATAGTAATCATTGAGCTTTCCATATTTAGTGTACTGATCGTGGAGAAACACAGCCACATCCAGAAGATCCGATGCGGATTTGCTTCTGAATTATTGTTCCTGCCCATTTAGTCAGAGACAAGAGTAGCTATTTCCCAGAGTTTCAATCCCCCAAAAAGTGAAAATGAATTAAACTCAACAAACAGGACGTGTTTGAGATTCATTAGCCAATCAATAATGCTACAGAGCATCATTAGCACTGCAGAGGGTTCTTTTTTATTTTATTTTTTAAAGTTATCTCGGTAATTCGGAAGAACAGAGTTTTCTTGCCCTGCAAAGTTAATCTGGTTAATTCGGAAAAAGAGAGCCTTTTTATTTTGGGGGAGGACGGGGTAAATGCAATATTCTTCTGCAAAAATCCAAACGTTTCAGGGATCCTGCACCTCTTACAGACAAAAATGCATTTTTTTGACTCTGGGCATTACTTCAAGTGCAGACTAGATAAGAAAGAAATTGCTTTTTCACAACTGTGGAGATCAAACTCCCTGCTAGCTACACGGGGAGACTGGGTGTTATAGTTTACAGTCCAGGGGAGGATGGATCCGGACTGGAGACTTTCTGGATGGGGAGGAGCGGGCCATGATGATGCAGCAACAACCCCATCCAGGCTTCTGTAGTTGCTGGGCACACAAAGCAGATGATGTGCAGTTGAGACAGAAAAATGTATGCATGAAGCCAAAACCTGCTTTTGGGAAGCTATTCATGAGAAAATAATAAAACATTGTCCAAAGTGCCCAAAAGTAGATTTGACATGAAATAGGACCATTAAACATGATCACTAATTTATTTAAACACACAGTAATCCATTTCTAAAATTATTCAAATGAACTCTATTCTGGCTCCTTCTATGTTCTCCTTGTATGAATCTGTATAGAAATGACCTCCAATCATTCACAGCTGCAGTGTATTGTGGGTAAAATCGTGTCCAGACTAGAACAGTATGTTTGGGTGAAATTTACAGCAGCACAGAAGATAGCATTTTGGATTTCAGGGCAATACTCTATGGCCAGCGGATCAGCAATTTAAATACAAACCCAGGCTTGGTACTCTGGGCTCCAGGCTGCAGGAAACACTGTTTGGACGATACCACCAACTCTCACTCTATGGTGAAGTGAACTATCTACTTTCAGGCATGAGGCCAACTTGATGTTCAGAGTTTATCCCATCAATTTTCTTTTCCTGTTGCTTTTGACTATTTGTGCTTCAAGTACATTTTATGTCCTTTCACATAGTGCACATGTTTCTACAATGTTTATACTTGATTTAATGATACAATATCTTCAGGATAGCAAGGAAATTTACAACTGATATTACTTTCTTGTGCTGCTTTATATTGCACTAATCTTTTACTTTATGTCTGTTTTGCCTTTGCCTGGTAAAACTCTCGGAGCCATGCTCGTGTTTGAAAGGCGCCATAAAATGTGAGTTTAGTTATTAAGGTGTTTATTCAAATGTAGCAAGAAGAACAGCATTCCACAGGAATTTGAGGGAAAGGTTCTGTGAGGATTGTTTTTAAATAAAAATTGATCTAAAACAACCACTAAGAGCAATTACAGCTTTAAGCTCGGGAAGTAAGTCTAATCAGAATGCAGCCAAGGAGAGGATTAAAAAAAGAGGAAAACAGCAGTAGTTTGAACAGAATCACTGAAACTGAAAAAGCTTTAGCAAAAGTAGATGGCGTTTACTGAGAGATGATAAAAACCCTCTATCCACTTCTAAACCAACGTTTCATTGAAGCCTCTGATGCTTTACAGGAAACTGTTGCAAAATGGCCTGTATTTGTGTAGCGTCGTTCTACAACCCGCTTCACAACACAATCACACATTCACACCCTGGTGGTGATGAGCTACATTGGAGCCGCAGCTGCCCAGGGGCTCACTAACATAGGTGAGGCTGCCGAGCGTATGCGCCACCGGTCCCTCCACCAGCAGGCGAGGTGGGTAAAACGTACATGGTAACAATCTACATGGTTACAATAATAACATTTATACTATTACATATATTTAGCAGTTTTATGTTTATTTCTTTGGAAATCTGAGAGGGACAGTTACTGTGCCAGCGATTCTTGCCATCAGTGACAATTATGAAGATGATGAAGATGACACTGAGGCAGCTGCTCAATTATATGACAATAATATTCTATATTTGATCTGAAATGTAGTTTATATTTCAATAGAAAGCGTAGTCTGTAATATTCTAATCTTCTAAAATTCTCAATATAATTCTAAAGTGTCTTATGTTTTATAATATTCTGAATTCATGTTTATTTAATTTGTGTTTTTAATATTGGCATTTCTTTTTTAACCAGAACAGGGTAGGTGGTCATGTTACCACAACACTCTAGATTAGATTATTAGACAGCACTATAATCAAACATTTAGTAAGGAGTTTAGCCCCAGAAACTGAAAATAATGATGTTAAAAGGTCATAAAAACTAGTCTCTGCTGTTAATTTGGACATTTAAATAGAAGCAATCCTGCGTTTGAGTGGCCACCTAAAGGCCAGGCGATGAACTGCAGTTTGTCTCATTTGCAGAACAACTGGCTTTAATAAGACCTCACACCAGTTAAAGTACTTCTGAGCTGTTTTCCTGAGGCAGCTCCTTATGAACATGTGGTTCTGCGGGCTGGACCTAGTCAAATATGAGACAAACTTTAACAGGACATGTGTCTTCAGAGAATATCTCAGCACTTCTCTAAGTTAGCACCATTTCTACACCAGCAGAGCTACTAATCTTCCTTCTAAGTAGTTTATTGTTGGCTTCAGTGCTAACTCTTTTTTTACACTCATTTGTAAGTCACTCTGGATTAAAACATTTGCCAAATACAAAAACAAAAGTTGTACCTGAGCATCCATTAGCAGGTGTCTCATCAGGGCCATGGACTTCCTCAAGGTGTCCCTCTCTGCAGGCATGAAGGCTTCATCCTCATCAGCCAGACTGCACGGTCGGGTCACCATGAACTGAGCAATCTGGTCATTCAGGCTGTTCAGAGACTGAACGGCTGCAAAATAAGGGAGAGAAAATAAAATTCAAACAAATAATGACCAAACTGGTTTATGCTGTATCAGAGTATCGAGCCTCTTTTGTTTTCCAAATGTGGGATTTTCTGCATCAGATTTTGATCTGAGACACTTCCTTCATCCATGGCTGCAGTCCTCAGAATAATCCCTCATTTGGACAAGACAGATATTATTAGACTAAATCCATTTGGGCAACACAGAAACTCACATTCAGTCCATTATATAACCCATTTTGTTAGAGCGACAGTCTCAGAGGAAACGTTTGGACTTGCAGCTGCTCAGAGGTCCTAAAACTCTGCTCAGTGCCTGTGGGTGGAAATACAGGCTTATCTGATCGATACTGGCAAATATGAAAAATACACTCATGCTTGAGTGGCGGCAATGGGCTTCCATACATCTCCACCAAGTTTCATGGTTTTCATTACTTTGTGGATCGTATTTGTCCTTAGAATAATCAGAATTCAGTACTTGTGTGAATTTTCTGTCTGGAGATCATTTCATAAACAAGCTGAGTAACCAGCCGATCGGCTGGCACTGATTAAGTCAGCATCAGCCGCCCAGTCTGATGTCAGAAGAGTTTTTCAAAACCCACTTTCTATTCCCCGCACACAGCAAAACAGGCCCAGAGGTGAGTTTGGGTAACAGTGACGGAGTGACTGAGGCTACGTGTGACTCACCGGTGACAGTTAAGGTCAGTTTATTTCTTTTTAACAGGACAATCAAGGATTTATAGCCAGACCTTCCAGGCTCCTTTTAAACTGCAGAATGTCAGCAAACAGAAGCATGTTTACAAGCAGCATCCCTGCAGGTAAAGCTGCATCCTGCAGATCAAATCAGAGCAGGGTGGGAGGGAGAGAGAGATGGGGGGGGGGGGGGGGGGGGGGGGGGGGCTGTTTAAGCCAGTAGCTGACGACAGTTGTCTATTGTCACATTCAGCATTTACAAAGTGCACCTCTGTGTCCAGAAGATGGCCAAACACTCGAGATAATAACAGGCTGCTGCTGAGAAATGACACGCTGTCAGACAGGCAGAGAAGACACACCCTCATCCATTCCATATTTCAGCTTCCAATTTTTATTTAAACACATTCTTTCACACACCGACAGGTGGCTTTTCATAAAAGCAACCTGCTGGCCACCATGGAAATGTCAACACACCCTATCACAATGCAAATGTCGGAGCTTTGAACCAAAGACGCAGCATCTGAACCACACTCGGCACAGCGTTTTTGAGTTTGTTGAACCGGTTGTAATAACCGACTGCCTCTCACTCGTGAAATTACAAGCTGCTGAAACTCCTCTCTGGCCTGATGACATCTCTGATCAATGTTTGAGACTGGTTCAGATCTGAGGTTTACATCTGCTAATCTCCAACACTTCCATGTTTAATGTTCTTATTGGGAGAAGCCAATATTCGCTCACACACACACACACACACACACACACACACACACACACACACACACACACACACACACACACACACACGCGCGTCAATTGCCAAAAATACGCAATTAGGAAAATGCTGATGAAATTCCTTGCAAGTGCACGGACTGATTACTTCTTATTAGAGCTTTTTCTGTATTCACTGGACAAAATAAGGCAGTTGGAGTACCGTAATATTCCGTTGACAAATGCTATTTTCCGTGAAATCTAGATGAAAGTTGTGTATTTTCCTTGAGTTTAACTTCTCCGAAACTGGACTACAAACTGCAATGGCCATTGGTGGGTCCAGGGTAGGCCGATACCACCCTGACAGCAAGCTTGGACCACCCATAGCCCATTAAACATTTTGATTTCATGGCAGCTTTAAACAGTGGCTGGCCTCATGGTGGCCCCCCACGGAAGGCAGAGTCTAAACATTAATAAGTACTGATTTTTAATGATGAATTACCCTAATGAGAGACAAGCATGAGAATGCATTTACCTGAAATGGAAGACATCTTTAAACAAATATTTCAGTGTTACTGAAATCAAAACTCAAATAACACATTTTACCAGTTATATTTTGAAACGAGTTGAAAAGCTCTTGTAAGTATCTAAAGTAATTTCTTAAGAAATTTTAAATAATTAAAGGCATGGTTTTTTAGTGTTTTCCTACACATGTGCCTCTAACTGAGCAGCTGGCCCCACTTTTAATGTTTTCCTAGTGGACTGGTATCCAGCATGTTTTAGTTAGAACTCTGTTTCTACACACCTGATTTCAATCAGCAGGTAATTAACAGACTTCTGCAGACCCTGATGAGCTGCTGCACGGGTGATTAAACCCCTGAATCAAATGTGTTGGAGCAGAGAAACCACTAAAATGAGCTGGACCGAAACTGAAAACCCCTGGTCTTGATCCTCCCCAGACTAAAGCCCCTTTGGAGACATAACAAATGATCCCAAACATGGGTGGTATAGGGAGTCTAAGTCTCCTCCTTTTCCGTTCGGCTCATGGGTCCCTGGATGAATGAAAAAATGAATGCAAGTCAAAAGGGCTAAAAGAGCTATTTTCTAATCTGCTTTGCCTTAATCCCTGGAACGCACATATGCTGTACTGCAACTTAAATGAAAAATAATGATGTGTGTTTCAACCATGCCTGTCTCGTACTTTGAGATTTATCAGCTTGTAAAAGTTTGTAATTAGCATGATTACAAATTAGATATCGGCAAGACGCATATGTGACGTCACCACGTCTCCTCTAGTGTAGCAGCTTCTTACCAAATGGCCAGATTAATGGTGTGTTCTCCTCCTGAAGGAAGGAAGGATTTTAAGTTTGTTAAACTTACAGCCATTCTCCCTCTGCTTTTCTCCGTGTCTGGTTCGATGAAGTCACCTTCGTGATACGCATTTGTAGTCCTGGACTTATTTTCACTCAAAACCTATAATGCCCCCCCCCCCCCCCCCCCTCCGTTCAAAAATATGCAAGTTCTTGGTATCAAAATGCGTCTTTAAAATTCACAGACGTGAAACCCATTGCACAAAACAAGCGGAATTAGAAAATAGCATTTTTAGCCCCATTAAGTTGCATTCATTATTTCCTTCTTCCGGGGACCCATGGTGCGGCAGTAGATGGGTGTGACTTAGGCACCGTATTTGCATGTCTTTAGGTGAAAATGAGCTTCCTGTTAAATGAAAGATCCAGTTTTGAGCAAATCAAATCAAATCAAAGCTTTATTTATAAAGCATCTTCCGCAACCCTGTCAGGAAGCCCAAGGCGCTGAGCAAATACATTGCAAGATGATCGTACTTTATCATTGTGATCGTAGCTCATTGGGGTCCTGAATGGAACATGGTGGAGTTTAGTGGTTGGCCTGTCTAGGCTACACTATCTCATCACTAGTTTCAGAATAGCATGCTGCAATCTTCTAGCATCATATTGATAGTGGACATGATTGTGATGTGTAGAACACAGTGGGACCAGAGGGTAAGTTCAAGAGCTTAGTAGCATCGTAGCATCATGACAAAATTTACATCAAAGATGTTTTTCCAAATGTACTCTGATTCAGTTATTTTTGTTGTTTTTTGTAAATATAGGCCCAATGCTTTAGACTGATGCTTGTCCTGCATTTTGATCTTTTTGTCATTAAACTTTGATTTTTCTCTGAAAACAATAAATGTGAGGAAGCTGCAAACAACATCATTGGTAGAATCTTAAATCCTGGCTAGGCCATTGTCTTTCTCTGTATTTTGATCTGCTGTTAAGTGTAAAATTTCTTGCAACCTAATGTCAAAGTGGGGATAATTGAATAATTGTGGTTTTTGTTCAATCCACATTAAAAAGTGTAAACTACATAATGTATAAACAGCTTAGTGCTTAAATGGTGTGCTAAATAAATAGTTATGTTTACATAAAGGAAACGGCAACAATGTGTGATCACTCAGAGCCCACTTCCATGTATTTTTGCTGTAATGGGCATCATTTAAGATAAAATAATAGCATGAAACTGTTTCTTCTTCTTCCGGCTCTTGGAGAGTACAGACGCTTTTTTCCTCCTCTCCTCCCTATCTATCCCAAGGCTTTTGTCTGTCTTTGGGTGTACGGTGCATCAGAATTTTTCTGGAAACTGGAAATTATTAAAAATGGACCTGGTCCGTTGGTCTCAATGCGACTGACAAAATGTTTTCAACGATGAGAACGGGAGAAGGGGCTCTCGGATGCCCCTCTGGGACAGAGCCAGCTGGGCATATCATGGACTCCTGGAAACAGTGGAACCTGATCTGCCTCTCTCAACTGTCTGTAAAGGATTCTGAAGACGTCTGGATATTCGTGGTGTTGGTGTCAGGTTTCTTGCTTTTTGGCCTGACCTGGCTTACTGAAAATTAATGAGTTGTTGAGGAATATTGGCTCAATCCCGGAGCTCAGGGATGGATTACACCGCGCTGTGAACGCACAAACTCGTATAATTGTTGAGGTGAGTCGTAAGCTTGGAACTTTGGCTGAGATTCAGGCTCTGGCACAGAAGGTGGATTCGATCAAGGAGAAAGTTGACGGGTCAGCACGGATTGGGATAGATTGATTATGCCATTATTAGATTTAGAGGGGTTGAGGACCAACAGAACTTTAAGACAGAGAGGACATTATCTCTGTCTGGCCCCAAAACAAGTTGTTATCTGAATCTGGTGCCCTTGAGCCTGTGAGGCTGAAGTGACTACTCCCCCTCAGAAAAAATGTGGAATGCTGCCGTCGCCATGGCAACTCTGTCTCCCTATCCCAGCCTGGGCGGGACTGAGACCGGTGAAGGTCGTGGAACCGTTTCCAGGAGTCACTGTGCTTTCTAAACCCAATTACCTCCCTCCCCCGTCCAAACGGAGGTGACGAGCACTGCTTATCGTGGCTGCATGCACTGATGTGAGGAGAGTCCCAACCCTACCTCCCCACCTAGTGGACACTTATGTTGTATAATGTCTGAAGTCTGTTGCATTTCTGTCTGAGGTGTTTTTGCAGAGTAAAGCTGCCCTCCCCGTGGAAGGTAACGCTGAAGTGCCTTTTTTCCTC